ACTAATGACAAATTATTGACATCTGCTTCTGCTGGGACTGTATTTGTAATCAACTTTTTATGACAAGTATGACATATCCACAAGCATGATCTGTTTGATCTAGCAATAGAACAATCCAATTTGCAATTCTTATCACACGTATGTACATAATTTTCCGATATATTTTGAGAATACTTGTATGCATCCTTGTAACATTTCATTACTTGGTTGTGAAACAATAATTTATGACACACAGCACAAACACAATCAGGCCCTTTTTCCATCTTAATCTTGAAATCATAAATGACATTATGTATACTTTTTCTTCTCTCCTTGTGATTTAATATTCTTTGCTTGTTCGTTTCCAGAATTTTCTTTTTACGCTTAGGATCTTCATATTTCATTTTACACGTATCCATCAATTTCTTCCTGTGCATTGGATCTTGCCTATATTTCATCTTACTAGTATCAATCAATTTCTTCCTGTAAATTGCATCTTGCCCATATTTCATTTTGCCAGTATCAATCAATTTCTTCCTGTGAACTGCATCTTGCCTATACTTCATTTTACCAGTGTCAATCAATTTCTTCCTGTGAACTGCATCTTGCCTTTACTTCCTTTTACCAGTATCAATCAATTTCTTCCTGTGAACTGCATCTTGCCTATACTTCCTTTTACCAGTATCAATCAATTTCTTCCTGTGAACTGCATCTTGCCTATACTTCATTTTACCAGTATCAATCAATTTCTTCCTGTGAACTGCATCTTGCCTATACTTCCTTTTACCAGTATCAATCAATTTCTTCCTGTGAACTGCATCTTTCCTATACTTCATTTTACCAGTATCAATCAATTTCTTCTTGTAAACTGTATCCCGACTATATTTCACTTTACTAGTACCAATCATTTTTTCCCTGTGAATTGAATCATGGTGATACTTTACTTTTATTGCTTCTATCTTTTTCTCTCTATATTGTACATTTTCATGATAAGTCAATTTTTTTGCTTTCAAAATTTCATTCCTGAAATCAGGACACTCACGATACTTTTGTTTATAATGTACATTCTTTTGATTACGTCTTCTTGTCTTACTTGTCTTCCTTAATACATGTTTAACATCAACATCATATTTATCCCTTTGGTTACACTTAATGCAATCTACATTATTTCCATATCCAATTTTTACAGATTCAATGTGCTTGTTTTGATATTCTTCATCAATATCATATTTGATGTTACTATGCAATCTATCTTTTGTCCTTTCAATTTCTCCCATATAATTTTTGCTAAAATGCTCTTCATTTTTGGCTCTCTTTCTTTCCCTATCCAATTTTCTTTTTAATCGCAGATTTTTACTTGCTTTGCGCTTCTTTCCCTTTGATACATTTACCGGTTCGATCTTTTCTGCTTTGGTTTCATTAATTTCATTCTCAATATTATAATCATCACACACCACGTTATTATCAATAGGTACTTGCATTTCATGTACCAGTACACTAAGATTGTCCATGAACTCATTTTGTACACCAACCTCTGCTTCAATTTCACTTTTAACTTCAACTTCTTCTGCAGTGTTTATCTGCTCTGTTTCATGTACTGACAATACAACATCATAATGTATTTGACAAGTATGATTGAGATAGATTCCAGCATCAGATGTCTCAACTCCAACTTCAGCACTTTTGCCAGAGAATAAATACCATCTGTCACCAAATGTATAAATATCAGTCTCAAGCATGTGTCCTGCAGCCATGATCTCAACTTCAGTTGCCCATTTACCTGACCAGAACATTCTTGCCCTACGCACATATTCCTCTACATCAGTGAATCCTTCACGTAACACACCCTTGTACTGACTAGCATGTTTCAATAAATGATTTACAGTTGCCATTCTCAAACGCATGTGATTAGCTTCAGTCCCTGATATTGCAAAAGATATCGCCCGGAAGAAACAATTTCCGTCACCTTTAATATTCCTGATACAATCTGGTCTTCCAATCTTATCACTTACTTCAGTTACTATATTCGACTGTAGATTAACTATGGTAATTCCAAGTTTATTACACAGTAATTTCTTCTGATCATGTGACAACGGTACAAAATGAAACTCACTTGGTTCAGATATGACATTCATTTCAATGTCATCATCTATATCCTTACTTTTGTAGCTCTCTCTGACAAGTCCTTTGATACTTGACCAACTCTTGTGATAATCACTGTCATCTTCAGCATCATTTATCTGCTTTTCCTCTTTGTCTGCATGATTGCAAATGTCTGCTGTCAAATTAGGCACGTTAAACTGATGACTAGTCTCATTATCAATGCCACATGTCTCCCTGTCTGTATCACATTCTGTCTCTTCATGTGAACACATACCAACACCTTGATGTTTCAACACACTCGCACCAGTGATTTCAAATTGTTCATCATTAGTTACATTCATAGAATGACCCAAATCTGTACAATACCTGTAAACATCTTTCCATGTTGCTGCACTTTTCATCAAACTGCTTCCTTCACTTGCTTGCAAACCATTATGATCTCTGGAGTGGGAATCAAAAATATAGTACATTCCATTTTGAGCCATGACTGCAAATGTATTTCCTTTAAAACATATGAAACAGCCATTGTATCTTTGCAGTGTCTGCTCAAGTGCACGGTTCATCGGCATCATATTAAATTCAGATAAACTGCATTCATCTCCAAAAGTACCACACACAGACTCGTGATAATTCATTGTGAAATGTTGATTAAATACATCCAATTCATTGGGCAATTCATTGATCAACAAGTAATCATTGTGCATCGTTGAACTATGTGATAAATGACCATACAACTCATTGCCAGTATTCAGCACTAAATCCATATCATGACATGTCCAGTGTCTCAATTCCTTCACATGACTATACATCATTGAGCACAAGCTATTTGCAACACACTGCTTTCCCATATTAACACCAAATTTTCGATTACCTTGATGAAAGTTTCCCTGAATAATGACATGGATTGGAGTCTTTTTTCCACTGCATACTTGTGATTGCATTTCATTTTGGGAGCATTGTTCGAAAATTTTCTTTGAGCAAGCCGTACTTTTGCCACTTATTTGTTTATCATCATCAATTATTGAATTATTGTCAACTGCTGGTTTATTCTTTTTAACCACTGGTGCCAATGACCTCTTCTTACTACGTAATGAATGTCCACTTTTATCCCTCATGTCTGGGCACCTGTTATCATCACACTGGACATCAACACTTGCAGTTCGTTTTCTCTTTCTTAGTTCATATGAAACCTCTTTCACAACTGGACTGTCTCTTTGCTTTGTACTCTTAGTTTCACTCACTGTTCTCCCGATTTTTGACTGTCTTTCATTTACTTTAGCTGCTACATCTGATTTTTTCTTTCTTTCTCTTAATGAATAACCTCCAGATTGCTTAATCAATGAGAGTTTTATAGTGTTATATTCTTCATGATTTTCAAGTCCACTTTCCTTTTGCTTCCTTGTATTTAGACTTAAGTATATTCTCTTGGTTGTTCGTCTACATTCCATCATTTCTTTTGCAACTTTGTCAACGCGTGTACAATCATGAATCCCGACTGTGTTACCTTCAGTACTCTCTTGTATTTAGACTTAAATATATTCTCTTGGTTGTTCGTCTACATTCCATCATTTCTTTTGCAACTTTGTCAACGCGTGTACAATCATGAATCCCGACTGTGTTACCTTCAGTACTCTCTTGTTTGTCACAATTCTCCTCAGCAGACTGTTTCATCATGTCTTCTCCCAAGCCATCCATCAATGTTTGCTCATACATGGTTAAATCTACAGGAATGTCAAGATAATCATGTAAAGATTTACAGTAGTTACTTCCACGGCATTTGTAGCATACCCATATAACTGATTTGTTTGCCAAGACATCATTTGCAGTACTATTTGTAAATCCCATGCAATCAACATGATACCACAATCCACAGCTACACTGTGCTTTAGGTTGAAATCTGTTGATCACTTTATCACACATCCAACACTCCCAATTATCAGTGGCATCACATTTCATTTCTACCATGTTTGCTCTCCCTCTTTCAGACTGTCTGTTTCTCGTTTCATTTTCATTGCTTTGTCTCTTCGTATGATTTTCCAACACTTGTCTTTTACATCCCACCTTCTTGTGTACAGGCACCATGATCTCTGCGTTTTTATTTCTCGTCCTGCAAGCCGTTGATGTTCTTCAAAGCTGTACTCAAACTTCTTTGTGTACGACACCAGATATTGTTTTGCCATTTCCCATGCAACCTTCTATCCTCTTTGCTCTTGCGACACTCTACTACCTTCCCTCCTTTCCTAATGTTATGAGTCTGCTTCAACACTTGTTTCCTCACTTTTCTCTTGTGCTGCCTTGATGGCCTCTTTCTACCATTTCCTTCCCAAATCTCTTCTACATAATCCAAGAGATAACCACTACTACAGTGCTTTGTCCAACTGTACTGCTTAAGCCATAGCAAACCTTTCACATTACCGACTCTTGCTAATCGCTTCTTCCTGCCCCCTCTCAGAATACTCACTCTTTCCTGTCTATCCTGTCGCATCTTTCTGTCATGTTCTTTCTGTGCCTTCTTCATGAGTATCTTCTTAGGTTTCACAATCTGTAAATAATAACATTTCATCACCTCAGTTTCATCACAGCATTTTCTCTGCTTTGCTTTTGCGCTCAATGCTTTGTCGCATCTATTTTCCTCAAGTTGATTTGCTCTCAAGTTTTGTTCATTGTTTGTTCTCAAGTTTTGTTCTTGGTTTGTTCTCAAAACCTGCCTCATCCCAGAACCTGACTCATCCAAGCATTTTTTCTCAAGTTCATGGTTCTCAGGTTCATGGTTCTCAAGTTCATAGTTCCGAGGTTCATGCTTCTCAGATTCATGCTTCTCAGGTTCATGGTTCTCAAGTTCATGTTTATCAAGTTCATGGTTCTCAAGTTCATGGTTCTCAAAGTTCAAGGTTCTCAAGTTCAAGGTTCTCAAGTCCATGGTTCTCAAGTTCATGGTTCTCAAGTTCATGGTTCTCAAGTTCATGGTTCTCAAGTTCATGGTTCTCAAGTTCATGGTTCTCAAGTTCATGGTTCTCAAGTTCATGGTTCTCAAGTTCAAGGTTCTCAAGTCCATGGTTCTCAAGTTCATGGTTCTCAAGATCATGGTTCTCAAGTTCATGTTTCTCATGTCCATGGTTCTCATGTTCATGGTTCTCATACTCATGGTTCTCATGCTCATGGTTCTCATGCTCAAAGTTATGGTTATTGTTATTGTTATGGTTATTGTTATGGTTCACAAGTACAAGGCTCCTGCCAGGAACCTGGTTTTCACCAGGATTTAGTTCCTTTCGATCCATGGGGAAGAGACTTCTGAAGATGCCATCTGTGAACACATAAAAAAAAGGGGGGAAAAGTCACAAATACAGAAAAACAACAATATTTTTTTGCAACATCCCATCAAACCCCAAAACAGCTACAGACAGCTTTTTTTTTGTGACATTCTAACAGTTTTTTTTTAATTGTGCAGAGCCTTTAAAACTTTTCTTTTAATTTGCCAGGTATTTTATCAATCAAACATACATTTCTCACTACATATCAATTTTGTAATCATCCCTTGGCCAAAATGTTTACTTCTCTCATTGACAATAATTCATACATCTCATTGAAACAACATAATCAAATGTGAATGGCCAATTACAAGATTTACCATCAGACAACATCTTGAGGAGAGTATGCAATGCTCACCACCCCCCCCCCCACAGTAACATAAGAATCATTTTGTAAAACAAACTCAAACTACAACTCTTTATTTTATTATCAAATCAGTTCCTTTAACTTGAGCTATACAATAAGCCTCCGTACTGATCATGTAACACTTTGTTGACGTGTACTTTTCCTGATGCAGCTATGCAACCACTGTCCCCACCATGCTCCCATAAGAAGCACACATGTAAATGAAGTGTGACATCATCAGTACAGAAGATTACACAATGATTTCAGTACCTATAGCTATATAAGACAATGACACATTCGTAATCATGTACTTCTGGAGACCTCTTTTTTTTCCAAAATCTCCGTTAATAAATCCAAACCCTGCCATCTTCTTCCAAAATAACAGAAAGAATGTACATATGCTATTCACATACTTCAGCAGTTGTGTACTAACTCTATCAAGACTCAGTTATATTTTTAAGAAAGTACTTCATAACAAAATTGGAATTGGAAATGCTTCTCAGACACAGATTCAGATCTTTTAAACATTTCTGCAATGACTAACCTTTATTGAGATTATACATGTACATGAAGAGAAAAGTGCCATGAACTACCAAAATTCTTTCTAATTTACACTACCTGATAGTGATACAAAACTATTCAGAACATTCCAAACACATTTGGCAACTTTTCCTGCGAAATATTTCACTATTAATTCCTAAAGCACAAAATGTCTTTTCATTCTCATGCGAGTATGGGATCTGATTAAAATAGAACTGCTATCCATATTACCTGCCCCCCTCCCCCCTCCAAAAAATATTCTGCTTCTGATTACATGATTATTGAAAATAGGCTTAATACATGTAGTTAGGCAAATTTTCTTTTGGGGCAATTTTTTTAATTTGTTTATCATAATGGATCCTTGCATGTAGTCATGGGTAAAAGGTAGTACTTACAATGTAATGGCTTTTGCTTTGTTTTCCTCTCCCCCCCAAAAAACCCAATAAGGGTACAGTCTGTTAAAATAGAGCAGGGTAACCAGAAACTACCCCCATAATTTTGATAAGATTTTAACTGCACGGAGTTGCACAACCCGAAACATATCGACTCAAACCAAAATAAAGCCAACAAAAAAGTAACTTAGGAATAAAAGATAACCAAAGGAGAATTTTGGTTACACACATTACAATTTGGCCCGTTTAGTTGGAAACAAAAGTAAGATTTTGTACACAATTGCAGAAGTGGCGTCAGGTTGCAACATTTTTGCAATCGGTTTAATATTTTGTTCCCTTGGAACAAGGTCCTGGCTAGAGTAGATACACCCGATCGCCCATACATCATGTACATGAGTGACATCAAACAAATTACAATAGGCATGAATGATAGAACTGATAGTGATAGGGCCTAGGGCTAGGCCAACATGCATTGTTAATTATGTACTCGGCCCACACGTCATGCACCGTGCCACTAGCCCCACTAGTGTGGCCGCGGTATGCTGCGCTGAACCGAGTCTCATACCGCGGCTACACTATAGTACTACTAGTCATGCACGTGCTATCCAAAACCAAAACACATTCCCTTGTGATTTAAGTTCTAAAGTAGGCCTAAATGTGCCAGCCAACTCTTACAAACTAATCATATTTGTAAGTTGAACTATTTTAAAATGAAATTAAATGACGTTCAATGTAAAACTCATCCATCAAACCAACGAATTTTAACGAGTTTTCTTCGTTGAGTAGGCATGTAATTATACGTACCCATGCTTGCACTAAATATACATAGTCTGATCTCCGCTCCGTCGCCATCATATGTATCACCAAAGATCCCCATGAGGCCGACACCAGACAGATCAGATATGCGCGCGCACAGTACGTGTACGCACGCCGCTCCGTACGCAGGTATATGATTCTTATTTTCGCCAAATTCTTCTGAGGAGTGCGGTGGCTCAATCGATACAAATCGTAATTCTGCACCGCGCGGTTGCGGGTTCGAATCTTGGTTGTATCTCCGATTTTTTTTCTAAGCTTAGGCTTCGGAGGATTTTTTTTTTAATAAGGAACTAAATTCCAAATTTCATAACATTCCAAAATCTTTTTTTCCCCCAATTTTATTTTTTCTTATTGGTTTTTTTTTTTTTAAATCTACACCCATAGGCCTATGCGGATGTCGTTTGGGAGAAAATAATTCGCATGCCGCTCACTACATGTGATTAAGAGGGCGCTAATCACATTTTCAAAATTTTGAGATTCAGCCCATGATTCAGCCCAACTAGCTATCAGCGAGGGGTGTACAGAACTCATATCACTACAATTTACTTCCTGACCCCAGTTGCTACTTAGACATTCACATTATGATCAAATTATTATGTCTTGCAAAATGTCTTTAAAAAGTGTGTTCATAGTTACGTATAATAAAGGGTATATATAGCGCCAACATCCGCCTACCAAGCTTAACGCTCAACGCGCGTTATATACAAAAGTAACAAAATTATCCGACCATCAAAACATTACAATTCTAAACAAAACAATTTCTAACCAATATAACATTTCAAGACCAAATTTCTTAACACCAAATGGTATTAAAATATCAACATAAGGTATTTAAATCACAGTGATTTCAATATGAAAAACAGGAGAACTCACAGCGGTCCCATGCAGACGGCAATAAACTACAAAATAAATACACAACCCCGGTGCAACATCAACATCAACATCAACATCAACATCAACATCAACATCAACATCAACATCAACATCAACATCAACATCAACATCAACATCAACATCAACATCAACATCAACATCAACATCAACATCAACAATCAACAATCAACTATCAACATCAACAATCACCATCAACTAATCAAAAATCAACAAGCAAAATTAACAATCATCAATTAACAATTAACATCAACAATCATCATCAAAAATCAACATCAAATCAACATCAACAACATCAACACTAACAACAACCAACATCAACAATCATCAACTATCAATAATCATTAATCACCATCAACAATCAACTGTCAACAAGCAACAATCTACAACATCAACATCAAATATCAACAAACAACAATCAAACATCAACAATAATCAATCAAAATCACAACACCAACAATCAACAATCAGCAATTCACATCAACAAGCATCATCAACAATGAACATCAATAACCAACATCAATAATCAATATTATAACAATCAACATCAACAATCAACATCAATAATCGTTAATCAACAACACCAATCAATTATCAACGATCAACAATCGACATGAACATTAACCACCGTCAAATTCAATTAACAATCAACATCAACATCAACCATCAACAATGGACATCAACAACAACAACCAACAATCAACAATGCGAAAAAGCCAAACCTCAGGCTAGCCCAACACCGTGTGTTTGTTCCCTCAAACTCTAGTTTGGATTGATACTATTAATGGTCCAAAGCTACACTTCTATTGATCACTTTCCGGATCAAAATGCTAACCTTCACTATTAAAAGTCCCGGTGTAGATTAAAGAATCTACCTCCGGAATCCGGGGGTCAGATTACACCTGACACGCTCCTGGTTCAAATCAAACATTTTACGTATACTAAAATTAATATGGTCAAAATGACAATTGTTTCGTCACAATGACATTATTCTGGATCAAATGACCCCGAAGAGTAACACAGAGATATGGCATGTTTCAATTCTACCTAGCTTTAGGTCAAATCTGACCCGAAATTAAATCAAAATTTGACCTTGGACTTTACGTGCAGCTAAAATGAAGGCTCTGTCCTCAGTGAGCAGTTCCACAATGGATTCAGAGGTATTTTTATTGTGTTCTTTGATCTTAAAAGGTGATCCACCGAGATTTGGCTGCCAGGAACATCCTACTATCTGAAGGGCTGACAGCTAAGGTTTCAGACTTTGGACTGTCCAGAGGGGAGGATATCTACGTCCAAACATCAAAGGTAATTGTTTTAAACTAAACCCCAGACCCATATACAAAGTTCGTATTTCAGTTTTAGAGAGGTACATACGATGCTTAAAGTATTTTACAAAGCTCATATTGCCAGTCAGACACAAGTAAGACAGTTACTAGTTCAAAAACAGGTCAACCAGAAAGCACTCAGAATGCGCAAACCTCCACAAAATCACCTCAGAAATACATGTACACCCATATCCACTGGACTTGCACATTTTATTGCACGTTCCCCACTCATGCATAGTATCAAATGGTTGAGTCCATTGACCTGTTGATTTCAGTGTTGTGTGCGCTTGAGCACATAGGGATGCAGACAAGTAAATCGGTCCGAAATTTCTTCAGTATTAGAGCATTGTGAAGGCCGTGAACTCGATGATTTGTAAAAAATAAAAACAAAAGAAGGTTCGAAGCCATGAGGCGGACTGCCAGCTCGTAGAACTGTGAAATGTGGATGATGATACGGTCCTAAAATGGCTTTATTGTGCAATGGAGCGTTGGCGTCCATTTTCAAATTGGCGATGGGCTTCAGGACTGCTTTTAGGGGTGATCATCTTTGGATGGTATTTTCTCCCAAAGTCATCGTTAACCCCCAGAAAATTGAACAGAAAATGAAAGATGATGAAATAAGCTTTACTTTGATGTACGTCTTGACTACCTCAGAGAGTTGTGAGTATTTTTCCCTATTCTGAAGTGGGGGCATTTGTCATTGGGGTCTATGGACATTTATTTACTGGTCTGCAGCCTGTAGTGCTAACATGGCGGTGTCCACTGAAAGCGGTGCGCTGCGCTTTATATTTCACGACATTTTTTTTCAGGGGGCGTGACCTGCGGGGTGTTTCAAAAAAGGGGTCACCGATGGCGGTTCCGCAGCAAATGCTCCCAAATCTAAAAGGGCCGATATACCGTCATCCGATCACAGAAATTTCGAGCGACAAAAAAAGGGGGGAGATTTGGGGTTGTAAGGAGCTGGAAGTCAATTAAGTCCCGTTAGGGGCGCCCTACAGCAACGCAGCCGCAAACAGAGTGCCTGTTTTCAGTCAAGATGTAGAACTCAGGAGGTTTTTTTCTCACAATGTTTTAATCAAATATGGGCTATCCATCCTCCCTCATGCCGTACACGTGCATGGTTTTGGTGAATTTTTCACAACCTCGCCTTTTATAGGGTGCAGACCAGTCATTTGGTCCAAAATTGCCTACGCCGGCCAAATCACGATTTGCATGCCCTCAAATTTTTCAATATTAGATCATTGTGAAGGCCGTGAACTTGGTGATTTGTTAAAAAAAAAAAAGAAGGTTGGAAGCCATTCAGAGGAATGCAAGCTCGCATTTCTGTGAAATGTGGATGATGATTAGGCCCTAAAATGGCTCTATTTTGCAATGGAGCGTAGGTGATGGGCTTCAGGACTGCTTTTAGGGGTGATCATCTTTGGATGGAATTTTCCCTCAAAAATCATTAGTGAACACCCAGATAATTGAACAGAAAATGAAAGATGATGAAATAAGCTTTAATTTGATAAAACGTCTTGAATACCGCAGAGAGTTGTGTGTATTTTTCCCGAATTTCTGAAGTGGGGACATTTATCAGTGGGGTCTGTGTACATTTGTTTACTGGTCTGCAACCATAGACTGCACGCTGGTGACCCAAACACACGTCCCATTTTCATGGTCTCTTCACATAGCATATACATGTATTCGCACATACAAAATGTGGAGGAATCCTTTAAAGAACTCCTGCAACAAGCCTCAGATCTCGATCAATTCCAAAATCTAATGGACTCGCACCTGTTTTAAGGACCACCCCTAAAAATAGGTTCATAAAATTACATCCAGAACTGTTTGAGTTATCTGGTTAACTGACAAACCAACACCGATGAAAGCATTACCTCCTTGGCGGAGAAAATAATTTCGTCAGTCACAAGTCCATAAATAGTCCGTTGAATTCAAGTCAAATTTCAAATCAATTGTGGCAAAGTAAGGCAATTCTTTTTCGGTATTCATCACCCCCACGTGTTGGTGACATTTCTTGAAATTTGACTTTGATTGAGATATTGCAAATATGTATGATTTTGATTCTTGACCTCTTTCTTGGCATGCAAGGACATTATATGGAACATCCCCATATCATCAGAAGTTGACAAAAAGTACAATCTACACAAAGTCCCGAGTCTAATTTGACCAGGACTCTGAAACTTCTCCTAGTGAAAATGTCACTTTTCTGGGTCAAAATGACAATACTCTTGGTCATTGTATTGGTCATTTTGAAACGGAAAAGTGTGATTTTGACCCGAAAAAGAAAGGATCAGATCAAATATGACCATAGCTCCGGGTCAAATTTAACCCATGCCTTTTTTAAGATTAGTTTTTATGTCTTTTCATTTGCATTTGATTAGTATTATTATGGTTTATTTATTTGAATTATAGAGACGAGTTCCAGTCCGCTGGTTGGCTATTGAGTCAATCAGGTATAAGAGGTACACGACAAAGAGTGATGTGTAAGTACAAAGAACCTTGTTCATCGTATAGAGTTTTTGATGGGTGATGCAGGCCTATATCTAGATTTTTTTTTTTTGCGAAATATTTTTTTCGTCACAGAAATAAAGAATTCTTGACTTAATTGTTCTCATCATCAGGTGGTCTTTTGGCATCCTCTTGTGGGAAATAACCACAATAGGTAAGACATATTCTGCTTAAAAATATACTGCTTTTTTCAGCTCAAATAAAAAAAAAGAAATCTGTCCTGCCATTATCGAACCGTTGAAGGCAACTTTATTTCCATCAAGATTCTTTGAAGTGGTGTGAAAACTAAACAATCGGTGCTTTCCCCTTTTTCCACTGTATCTAATTTATATTTAACGTACACTGTGAAGGGGGAACCCCCTACCCGACCACCAAGAGCGAGTCACTGGCCAGGAAGCTGAAGGGAGGATACCGTATGCCCAAGCCCAGCAACTGTGACGACAAAAGGTAAGATGTTCTCTTAATAAGTGCTTAGTTTTATCAACAGGTAGTTTTCGTCCAAAATATAAAATTATTGCTTAAAAAGACCTGCTGAAACGTCCTCTTGGCGGAACAGTAGATAGCGAGTGTCAGCACCTCTGCGTGTCAACATTCAAGCTGGCTCGTACGGCAAACATGACCCAGCTACAATGCTCCGCAGGGCATACTTTTTTGTCAATGTCGAGCCACCAGTTTGATGAGTAGAAGTATGCATGCATATGAGGTGGGCCTAGGGCTACTTAAATAGTCTGGAAGTCTTTTCGAAAAGGTATAGTCTTGTGGATAAAGAGAGATGCAGCCATATGTAACAATGAACTAGCTGCCATAAACATTACTGCATGTGCTTCTAGTTGATGCTACAAAATATGTTGTTACAAAAACATTCATTCACGTGATTTCTGCCTAAGCGAGTGCTAATAGGAGGGTCTGAAAATCAGAAGAATCTTCACTCATAAGGTTTCCCTGTGACTCATTTAAATTAGTTACGTCCTGATGCGTAAGTGATGGGAAGAAGATCCGAACAACAGACCAAGTTTCTCTGAACTGGTCTCTACCCTAAGTGGCACGGATGACAGTAAAATTGAACATGTAAGTATAGCATCAATTTTGCAACAAAGTTATCCTAGCCCACCGCATCCTCTTAGATATTTAGCTAGAGGAAAATAAACAAAACATTTTCCTTTTGTTCAGATAGGTACACTGCACTTAATACATGTATTACAATTTTTGTTGGAAGCAATCTTTATTTACTAGAGTGGTTTTAAAATCCGGCTAGGCCCTGACCATGAGGGTGTGCACACACGCCTATAAAGGACATTGTTCATTTCATTTACTTTTCAGACCTATTTTTTCGTTTAACCGAGTGCGTTACGAGAATTTGAGTGTCATCCAGCCCGAGTTTGATGACAACTGATCAATGGACATCAGCGTTCGTTCAACTGCGTCAACCGTTTTCCCGTGACGTAATAGGCCGTATTTTTTAACGATTGCGGCGCCATGTTGGGGGTACAAAAAAAGACGAGTAATACGCAAAAATTGGAGTGCTGTTATGTACCCAATTACTTTATTACAGCGTGCCATGGAATCTCAGTACAATGCATAGTATTTTAAATAAGCATAGACCTATTATATTTGGTCTTACCACGGGTCATTTTAATGTTTTATTATAGACATATCTATAATGAACTTCACTTTGTTATTCAAAATCTTTAATACATTTTAGGAGAACCACTTTATTGAACTTGGACCTTGCCACTTTTTTTCCCCTGAACATTTCTCCGTTGTCTTTGTTTTGTTGTGGTTTTTTGGATTTTTTTTTTTTGTTCGTTTTTTTTTTGTTTTTTGTTTTTTGGTTGTTGTTGTTGTTGTTGTTTTGTTTTGTTTTGTTTTTGTTTTTGTTTTGTTTTGTTTTGTTTGTTTTGTTTGTTTGTTTGTTTTTTTTTTTTGTTTTTTTTTTTTTGGGGGGGGGTTTGGGGGATGGGGCATTGATTTATAACCACCTCCAAAAAAGGTAATCGGTGAGCAGCCTAATGATGTCGGCATACCATTTTATGCAGCCACATCTTCAACACACCTCCTGTTTATCGCACTGTCACTGCGACAGCGCATTCTTCGGACAGCTTAACTTTGAACTTATATCCAGCAAATTGGGGAACTGAGATGTCCTGGCATTTGTTTTGAAATCAGTGGTGCTCAATTGATATTTCAGTGAGCCAAGTGAGTTATCAATGGACAGCTGATGATTAATTCTTTAAGCTAATTTTATGATTAATTCCTTTTCTTAATCATTTATAAGCCATTTATTTTGGAATACCTAATTGGATACACCCTGTATAAACTAATGTTTAATGTATTAATTTTTTTTTTACAGAAGGTCGGTCAATCAGTTGGCTTCTTTTTGTTGCATCGGTCGGTTAATTTTTTTTTCGTCTTCGTATTGCTTTTCAGCAGGTTTTGTTTTTTTAAGACGCTCCTCGTTTGAAGTTTAAATGTACAATAGTTTCTAAAAGAAAAGTAAATGTTTTGTTATACATGTAGTAATATCCATTTAATTGACAGCATAATAATATGTATTGCACCTTAATGGAGAAAACAAATTAGAGATGTTAAGCTCTTGGCAACACGTTTGTTGAGGTATGCTTATGCGTTATCTTAATTATAAAGAAAATGCCATTGTAGAGTTTTAAACCTTAATAGCATTGAGACTAGCAACGCTAGTTGAAACTTACTGGTTGGTTGCTCAGTATAGATCGTGAACTAGAAGTCTTTAAATATCTCTGAAGTGTGCTTGTCTGCGTTTTAGAACAATTATGTTACATTTAGTTTATGTATTTACATTATTTACATTATGTTACATTTCGTTTAATTGCATTGATTGCTATTTGTTTTATTTGTGCAGCGGGTACACCTTGCTATTATGACAGTAAAAGTACTACGATCTTGTCGTTATGTCTAGAGCGCTTTATTATAATAAATACTATTGTGATAGATATTAAGAGCTGATCAATTGTGGGGGGGGGGTGTTCAAATAAAAGGAGGAAAATCCCAACTGACGCAACTTTAACAAAACCCGTTGTGTGAATCCCTTGTCAATTTGAAAGAGGGTTTTTTTGTAATAGGACATGCCTGAAACGGGACTATCGTAGAAGAGGAGTCTGCATTCTGCATGGTTTCGAAAATATAAGCGATTATTTTCAAGAAATAAAATCAAAATTGCCTTATCAGAAAAATTACGATTTGCATGCCCTCAAATTATCCGGTATTACGGAATTTTGAGGGCCGTGAACTTGACGATTTAAAAAAAGATGATGGAAGCCCTGCAGAGGACTGCGAGCTCGTATTAGGGCAAAATGTGGATGAAATTAGGCCCTAAAATGGCTCTACTTTGCAATGAAGTGTAGGCGTCCGTTTTCAAAATGGCGATGGGCTTCAGGCCTGCTTTTAGGGGTGATCATCTTTGGATGGATTTTTTTCCGAAAAGTCGTTAGATACCTCCCCCCCCCCTCCCTTCCCCCGACCAAAAGAAACTGAACGCAAAATGAAAGATGATGAGATAAGCTTCAGTTTGAGTTGTGTCTTAAACACATTGGAGATTTTGTGATTATTTTTAATTATTTTAGGAAGTGCGCGTAATATCACTGAGGTCTATGGCAGTCTATTTACTGGTCTAGAACCTTATAGGGCCTATACGAGGTAAAGACAACATGGCTGCGCACATGGGAAACAGTGTTAAATCACAAGAGGGCGCTGCAACCATTTGACGATGAGGTAAACATTTTGTGATTTAATTTCATGGACGAAACTTCAGTGTCAGCTGTTTCAACATCAAAAGTATATTAATGATAACATTCAACAGAGAAATTGACTGCAGCAGGATTTGTGCCGAGCGACGTCCGAAGCACCGAACCGAATTTGGACTCAATAAGAAATTCAGACTCCTTGGTTGTATTGCGCATGCCGTAAGTGAATAAAATAGTGTCAAGCGGAAAACTGAAAAGCGGAATAGAAGAAATGGGAATTTGTTAAAAATTTGCAGCCAGCACAATGACAGGGAAAAACCCAGGTACAAAAAGAGATTAAGAGATTCAGAATTGCAGTGGGGAACGGATAATTTGAAAGGATCAGCAGATAGTTTTTCTGTAGGACGGCCCTGGTAAGAGTTGAAGCGAACAAAATTATCCAGAGTTGTATCATAATGACCACCTTTACATTAAAAAAAAAGTACACAAGGTACTGGATTTCCCTTCTAAGCGAATTTCTCTTCTGAGAGATAATGACCAAGGTCTGATATTTGACGGACAATATCTTTATGACATGATTCTCACTTGAGTTTGCCGGGCATATCTTGTAGGTTGCTACACAAAGTCCAAATGTAAATGGATTAACTGTTTTGTACGTAACCGCCTATTGCTAGAATGCTAATCCCAACAGCGCATAATTATAATATGAGGCACGTTAGATTACTGAAACTCACCATATTTCTTGTGAAAACCAACAGCACTGGTGGTTCGTTATGGCCGGCTCAGTGTTTCATATATTACTCCAAGTCCATTATTGTAAGATAAACCTCCAACGAAGAAATCGATGTAATATTGTTGAGTTATTGCGGCCGTGGTATTGCGTGCTCCAAACACTACGGGGACTTTCCACTTAGTCCCGAAATATGCGTGACTATTATCAAAACATATTATTTGCACACGCGTGCTCCAACTTGATTTACAACCCCGTCTATAAATTATACACATTGTTGCCATTATGCATTGATGGGCTGAATAAAGTTCATAGTCCAATGCACTGTGCATGCCAGACAAGTGTCAGTCTACAACACAGGCGCGTATGCTGCACCTGAAGGAAATAATAGGCCTGAAGTCGAGTCGAAATCATTACTTTGGCATCATGTCAACTCCCACTCTCTCTAGCGATACACACATACCGTCCTTACTCTTCAACCAGTTGCATTAAGTTTTAAATGTTTTATAACTTGTATGATTGTATTGATACGAACATTTGTTACCGGTGTCTGCCTTAATACAAACACAAACATTTAGTTTTGTTCTTGGGTTGCTTTTGTGCGCGAAAAGATATACACTGCTAGCTTATCATCATTAGACCACAATGTCGTTCGCACTCTTTAAATAGCATTATTTCACAGCTAGGAATTAACAGATTTATTTTCATAGTCTTTAAGACGATTTTGGTTATTGGGCGATTTCCGCCAAACGATCGATGACGACCGCCATCTTGAAAATAATCCTTAATCCAATAAAAACAAAATAAACCTTCGCTCTGTTACGTTCTCCTTTTCCGCGAGTCAGCCTCGATTCTTTTTTGAATCACCTATTTGCAACTGAAGAGTGCCCAACAGCAAGGCACGAAAGCATGCTATTGCTAACAAGAGGATTTGCGAACATAATCCTCTGCTCGCACCTTTAATCACATTTGATTACCCAACCTATCTTAGTCACTTAATCTCTTATGTCCGCCCACTCTACATTTCACTCGGACATAACCAGCAAAGACTCAGTCATGCTTACAACCCATACTAAGCCATACAAGTCACCAGAGAAGAAGTGTCACTGAATGGGATAGTGCCATCCCTTTTCCAAACTTCACTACCGCCACGGCTCAATGCGCCATCTCACGCACGCAATACGTGCATACAAACCCTGAGAGAAAACCAATGAACCATCACTTCTCGGTCTCTTACTAACACAACCTCTCAAAAGAGAAATATCCATCATTCTGCCATTGTTATAATAAATAAATTGGAATATAACCCACCCCATCTTACTTTATTCGTTATATTCAAACCACAAACCCCTCAACTACCATGGCAAGAAGGAAACTCAACCAAGAAACCAAGAGATCAATAAATAAATCTAACCACTTCTCTCACAAATGCAATCGTAAACCAAACGAGCCAACTCCAATCATTTGCGCTCATTAGCAGAACAAAATATCAATCCTTCATAACCAACTATCCAAAGCAAAACCATCGCAAACCG